CCCCAAAACCCCAAAACCCCTTAATCTTTTAAGTGATTGAGAAATTATTTCTAAGTTCTATGATGAAATTAAGCATAAATATAACTAACTGAGATCAATAAGATATTATATTCAATTCATCTCATTAGATTATTCTCGCATTGTTTTTTCTAGACTCAGAACCTATGTCTATAGAATCTACGATATGCTTGATTTCTTCTACAAATGTCTCTGCCATTACAAATCGATCAAGCTTTTTAGTAGGTGATTTACTTAGACTTCTCAATAGTCCATGATCACTTTCCAGATCTATAGCTGATAACTTAGTTGGACTTCTACTTCTTCGCTGTCTTGCCAATCTTTCTTATTCTTCTTTCTTTGCCTTTGCTTTATCTTTGATTTTATCAAGAAGCTTTGTAAGTGCGAATTCTTTTTGATAAATCGACCTCTTTACTTAATGTTTGATTAATGGTTCATTTGGATTATCAATTACTTTCGATACAAATTGTTTCTTGGGACTGACATTAGAGCTTTTAGGTATTTATCCAGAGCTCTTTTAGTTCAATTAATTCTTACTGCCTTGTTATGTTCTATGATGAGTTATATTTCTATTAGTTTCAGTTCTATGTCCAGGTTTTGATATTATAAAATCTGAACTTAATAAATTTTATTCATTATCTGTCTCAATTTTTAACTCGGTGATCTCTTGCTACTTGTAACCCTTCTTTTGAATTTTAGCCCATTGCTTAGGACTTAGATACCACCTTCCATAATATTACTTAGCCATGACTCTGGTTAATTCATCATCATTAAAAATTTTAAGGTAGCTGATTTAATCGCTCTTGCTATTTTAAAGTTCTAAGTTTTGCAGTAAGTAATTCATGTCAGGCTTAACTATCTTTAGTCTATACTTATCTTTTGAAATTTACGGATCTTTTCTTATATTTCTATTATTCTTTTTCTTTTCTTCCTCTAATTATTTGACCTATTGCAAACACTCATCTAAAAGCTAAGCATATCTTGTATCTTTATAAACAGGAATTGAACTTTTCCTACCACCAATAGTCAGTTTACTTTAAATCAGGAGATTAGGTCCATTTAATTATTAAACTGCTATCTATTTATTAACATTGATATTAGAAGTTGGGCTTGTATTTTTATCGAGACTATTCTCAACACTACTACCATGAAATTTCATAGTCACTCTCCTTTAAAATTTAGCAATATCATTGGATCTTTGGTTCTTTTAGTGATTTTTTATCTAATCTGGGAAATTTTCTTTAAGGTATAAGGTGTGGGCATACACTGCGAGCATGGCATTATCATGATCTTCTCTTTGTTTATGAATAAATTTTCCATTTAATGTAGTCGGAGAATAAACCTATTTCAAGTTCTTACTCTCATTTTCAAGGCATTAAATATGATTTGAACTTGGTATTCCTACATCAGCATCAGGGGCTAAGATTATTTATTTATCTTTAGGTAGGTTTTTCCTTTTAAATTCATGCTCAAGAATGAATTCTTGCTGATTTACATGGATTCTTGTCATATCATGTCCCTCTGAGCCATCAAAATTTTTCCATACGCTGAATGAGAGTGGTCTTTCTTAGAGATTGTGAGTTTTTTCATTTTTTTTCATTGCATTAACTTCTTTATTGTACAGCACATCTAATGGTATATCAGATTCTCTAATCCTCATTCTATTAAAGGGATTTTCGCATGATATCAATTATTATTTACCCATCTTTCTTGAAATTTACTATGGCTCTATTGTGTTTGTCAAAGATGTCTATTTGTATTCTTTCATTGGATCAACAGTGTATTCCTCCTCGTAAGTCTACCCGAGAGTTTATTTAGATTTAGTTGTCAACCTACTTTTTGCTGGGCTGCTCTCAGAATTATCATCAATCTCAAGTTCATCATCATCAGCTAATAACATGGTATCTCTGTCATTCTAAACAAAAGAAGTTTTCTATTTCATAGGTTAATCCTCATCTGTATTGAATTCTTACTCAATTTTATTGATTATTTAGGCAACTTCTTTTTTATATTCCTGATTTGCTTTCAAATCTTAGTTTGACATTATTTACAATCTTTGATCTAATTTCTAGTTTTATTCTAAAATCCTATTTAGAGCTCGATTTTCTCTTACATATAGTCTTGAATTCTAAGTTATTGGTCTGGAGGTATTTGTGCCAGGCCGAGTCTAATTATTCTGAGAATAACTCTGACTAAGGTGGGTTTAAATACTGTTTCTAGCACCATAATTAAATTTCATTGATCTACTTCTGATCTTTTTACTTTATTAAGAACTTTTATTCTGTTAAGTGAATTTACTCATTTCGAATACTTCTTGGTTCAATGGATCATGAAGATACTATAGAAAACTAGGCTTTTGAATAGCTGATCTCAGATGAGAATTTTCCTTTTAGTTGAGAGAGTAATTATCATCTATATTTGTATTTATAGCTGTAGAAACTCTATATTATGTTTAATTTGCAAATGAAACACTAAATTTCTTGCTGTCATTGAAATATGCAGGCGTGTTAAATGGTTTCATATTTCGTTTTTAATTGCTCATATCAATCATAGGATTATGAGTCTTATTAGTGATAGTTTGCTCAAATGAAAAGTTGTTCTATGGAATTTCGATTTTAGGAATGTCAACAGTAGTCTGATTTAATTTACTAAATGGCTTCAATTAGATATTTTAATTGGGATTGTTACTGTTTTGAATAACTTTATCTATAACATTTAATGGGGTCATGACCCTTTCATAATATTTTTAAGAGAGGGCTTAAGAATTAAATCTTTTTTATTTTGATACAAGATTTCTCATTAGCTAGTCATTTTCTTAATGACACTCAGTTTCAATTTTCAAAAGGCGTTATAGTCTCTCCTTCTTAATTTTTCTGTTGCTCTCACAGAAAAATTTATGGTCTTATCTCTCATTCAAAAAAGTCCAATTCATTCTTTTATTTTAAGCAGGAGGATCATCAAGGTAGGCAGCAGACATATAATCCTGATCCATAATTACCTAAGAATCATTTTGTTGAGACTAGGGGCTTCTCATCCCAAAGAATTTGATAGAACTATTCTTTTGAGATCTAAGTGGATGATTAGCCTAGGAAAAGTGTGAAAGCATATTTGACATTTGCTATCTTGGGTAGTTCTAAGAAGATGTCAGCACAGCACTGTTTTATTAATGCATATATGTGTTTGAAAAATCAGTACTGCTCATAGGGCCACCTGATCCATGAATGCCAAATTAAGCTGTATTTTCTTTCTTTAGCATTTGGAAGTTCTAAAGCTAAGCAGGGGAGTCAGGATTATTTTTCCGAGCGTCAGTTGCTAGTACATTTTTTATTTCAGTTGTTGACATAGCTATTAATTATTTGGAATTAAATAAGATGATTTGATTAAGAAAGCATATTTCTATCAAATCAAGATTATAATCGAAGAAAGTACTTATTATTTAAAAACCTTTAATTCTTTCTAAATATCTAGTAAGGGGTTTTGGGGTTTTGGGGTTTTGGGG